CAGCAGAGCTCGATGAGAATTGACCAAGGCATTGAAACACTACGGTTTTCCATTTCTTTCTTCCTTCCATGCCAACAATGAATCATGGGTCAGCCCTCCACACAGAGCACTGAAGACATACTCAGCCTGCTGGATGGGTTTCCATCTCACTGGTCCATGGTTCTTGGTGCTAAAATTAGGAGCCAGGGATTACCAGGAAATGTGGTGGCCACCAGCAGTGAGCCACAGTGAGGACTGTCCCTTTCTCCTGCCTTGCTGAGTGCATCAGCTGGCTTCAATTCCACTGGGCATGGCTTGTAAGCCTAAATGCAGGGGGAAACAGCAGCACAATCACAAGAGGAGACTGATGGGTTTGAATCCAGCTGTGAGGCTGCACCTCTCCCAAAGCCCCAGATCCAGAGAAGGAAGCCATCAGTGGTGAGAAAGGGGGAACCCCCATGCCATATCTCAGCAGGACAAGCATGAAAGATGCTGGGAACTGTCCCTGCTCCACTAGGCAGTGCTTCAGGCACAACATGGCATGGCAGCCTGTGGTGGCACCCCAGAGCACCCCAAAGAAGTACCTTCTGCTGCTTATTGCTTGTTTGGCTGAGGTGCTTGGATATCCTGGAGGGGCTGTAGCTTGTCTGAAGGTGCCTGGGCACAGCACAGAGCAAGGGTGAGCAGCAGGGCTGGGCTGGCTCCATTGCACCATCACATCCTCCAAGTCCCACTGTGAAGAGAAAGGGGCAGGCAGTGCCCCAGATGGGTGCCAGGGAGCCCCAGGCAGCTCAGGACCTGCACTGCCTCCTTCCAGAAAGGGGAACTGGCTGCATTTGAAACTATGAAGTTTTTGGTTCTCCTTTTCTCCATGGTGAAGCAGAATAGTGCTGGTTTCCATTTTTCTCACACACTTCCCTTGCTATCCAGTGTGAGGAGAGGGCTCAGGAGCACACAGAGTGGCCAGGCAAGATGTGGTGTCAAGAGTAAGAGAATCCCTTTTCCCTGAGACCACACAGCAGTGATTCCTGAGCATCCCCCCCTGCACTGCCCTGAGCACAGCCAGTTCTGAGAAGCTCCAAGCAGAGACACTCTTGCTGAAAACCCTGTGAAATCCCAGACAAGCCTGCACTGGTCTATCAATGCTGACCAAAACAAAGGGGCTCTGTAGATGCTTCCAGCTTCCTTTGCTTTGGGCAGGCAGAAAAAGCCTGGCTGGACTGCAGGACCTTCCCTCATGGATGATGTTTCTGGTTCTTTGCCTCAGCTCCCAAGTGATGAAGGGCTGGTGACATTTCCAGAAGGGCAAACCCAAGTGTGCTCCACCCAGCACATGCAGTCCTCCTGCCCTGACACCACCCATGGGACAGACCCTTTTCCCACAGCCACAGCAAGAAAGAACACTGGGGCAGAGTTCCTCTGACTCAGTAGCGGTTTCTTTTCCTCTTGTCCTCACCATGACCTCTCTTTGGGTCTCAAGATGTCCTGGGCACCTCAGGCATTTAGCTTGGAGAGATTATTTTCTGGAGAGCTGCTCCCTGCTCCTCTCCCAGCTGCCCCAGGATAATTTTCCCCAATATATATTTTTTTCCTTCTGCAGCAAAAAATGAAAAAACTCAGTAAAAAAGCTGGACTAGAGCCACCACACAGGGAAGGGGTCCAGCACAAAACTGCTCCTCACAGACAAATGGGGTAAAGGATCCCTCCTGCAGGGGCCAGGCAATGGCCTGAAGCTCCTCACAGGAGGGAAGGAGCTGTGACCAGAGAGGAAAGAAGAAAGGTTGCTTCTTACTTTAAAGCAACAGTGTCTCAAGAGAATTAGAAAAGAGTTGCTTCATTTTTGTAGGAACAGCTTGAAAGGCCCTGGACTCAGCTGCTGCCTTACCGTGGCCAGAGCCACACTCCCCATTGTGGTCCCCTCGGCCACCTCCTTGCTGGGGTGGCTGGGAAGGGCAGCTCATGAGCCACTCTGCAGGGCTGGGCTGGGAGTCCTCGGGGAGCCACACCTCAGCTGGGATCCTGACCTGGAGCAGGACCCGACACTGCTGCTGGGGGCACCCGGGCTGCTCCTCTGCCTGGGAAAGGCCGGCCCCTAACGGCAGGAGAGGGGCAGTTCAGCCTCCTCCAGACACACAACCGAGGAGCTTTGGGCTACGTGGAGACTGCAGAAAACCAGCGAGATGCCACATGGCCATCCCTTGCTGCAGACTCCCTGGTGCAAAAAGCCATCATCCCTTTGATCCTTGACCTGAGACGTTGGGAAAAGATCAGACACCTGACCCTGACAGCCCCACAGTCTGCAGTGGGGTTATGGGCAGAGGATTTATGTACTGCTGGCTCTGCCAAGCTGAGGGGAACGAAGCTCCTACATCACTTGCCACCAACTGCAGTTAGAAGAGCCACAGCACCCACAACAGAGTGGCTTAGGGATTTGCATCCTGGCATCCCTACCTGTCAACTGCTCACCCATGATGCTTCAGGTTTCAGGAAGACAGTAAAACTACTCTTCCTCAAAACAAGACTGCAAAACACTTTTTTGTAGTAGCTAGATGGCCTAGATGGCAGCTCAGACATGCAATGACAAGCTCACACATGCAATGTGTGTGAAGCAGAGCACCAGTTCTTTGGACATCCAGGGCAGAGCTGGTGATTCCACCACAGGCTGCCAGTGCTGCCCCACAGGTGTGGCAGCCAGCACAGACCCACCCATGATCTCTGGGACACCACCTGCTGTGGGACAGATTGCAGGCTGGAGTGAGACCCCCTGAACCTGGCAGCAGGGACCTGCAGGGAGAGCTGTAGGTCACAATGCAAGTGCAACATACCATCAAAGGCCAGTTCAGCTCCAAAACATATTCCCAAACCAGTTCTGCATTTCTGCTGCAGGTATCTGTGCAGGAGGAAACATCAGCCAGGAAAACAAACTGCATGCATTAAAAGGAAAGTGGCCTGAAAGGGGAGACAGCACTGGGGTGCTGGGGATCCCAAAGAAGAGACTGGAACCAGTTGCAGCCTGCACACTCCCTCTACACACACAAGGCACTTGAAGAAAACAGCACTCCAAAATGGAAACTGGCCTTCTCCAGACAGCAGTGCAGCAGCAGAAGCTCATTCACAGGTGGCCAGGGCAGAGCACATTGTCTCCTTTGTGCTGGCTCTGACAATGAGCAGTGCCCACATGGCCTCACGCCTGCCAGCTGCTGCCATGTGCTGTACTGAGCTGTCAGCAAGGCCTAGCTGGCACTACCCAGTGAGGGATGTGGTTCAGCAACATATCAAACCACCACAGGAAAGCATTAATTTGCCTCTTACCTATTCTGCTCACTGCTCAGTAACAGCATGAAATATTAACAGATCTTTACATCCTTCTTCTGTTGAGGCAAGAGTCCTTTAGCACAGCAAGGAGCAGTTTGCATTTAACACCTGAGCACACAGTACTTGCTTGGTCATATTTACATTATCCTCCATTCACTCAGGCAAACACTGCAAGTTGCTTGGCAGGTCTCATGGCAAAAGGCTTCTGCAAGCAACAAGCAGTCACCCCAAGTCTCAGGACCTGGGGATTTCTGTCACTCACTAGATTTGGGAGGGTCTACATAAGGACTCAGCCTGTCCAGCAAGGTGGCTCATGGAGACCCAGCCAACAGGAAAGGGCAGACAATGCAAAAGAAGAGAACTTGGGTACATGCAACATAGGCTAACAATTCAAAATGTTTCTAAAGCAGAAAAACAGAATAGAAAAAAATGTTTTAGACCTTCAATAAAAGATACTCAGTTTGACAGGTAATAGCTTCACACAAAACAGGACAAAAACTAAGGAGTGTTTCTGAGCAATCAAGTTCCTAAAGCACTCTAAGGAACAAAAGCAGATACCTTTCCTGCAAGGAGGGTGGAGAAGTAAGATCTGAGTGATTTGGCTAAGGCACAACCTTTTTGGGAAACAAAGGCAAAGATCACCTTCTCCAGGAGAACTAGATTAAACAGTCTCTCCTGAGAATCTACTTTCTGTACGGTACAGTACACTGATTTAAAACACCATTCACCATTTTAATTCAGGGTAATTATACTTTACCTTTACACATGGCAGGGAACTATCTCCCCTCCAATTAGGAACTTGAGAGCAGGCACTTCAGGGAAAGCAGGAGCTGAGGTGAGAGCTCTGCTTCAGGGGACCCTCTGCATAGACAGTGCAAACTGCCTGTACAGGACACACACAAAGGGTCACAAAGCCAAAACTGGCTTGGTTTGCTGTGGCTTTGCTCAGCAGTTGCTTTCATCTCTCCATCCACATTTAAAGCCTGGAAAGTACAGAATTACAAGACAGCAATCCCTTTTTATAGCATCAAGAGACCAGCAACATGTGTTATTCCTTCCACCCCCTAAAAACAAAGCATGACTCGTCTTCATGAGCTTTTCCAGTCCTATCATTACTCCCTGTGCTGAACAAGGAACAAAGAGCTCTGACCAAGGGCACAAACATTTTCTCAGTAGGGCAGCTGAGAAGTAAATCTCACTTTAATCTAACCCCAGGTAAGTAAAGTCTTTTTAGCATCAAATACTCAGGTACTCAATTAAAATCTGCTAATAGACAATTCTCTGACTTAGGACAATGAGACAGATCATGACACACATACAGGAAGTAAAATCTCAAGTATATTTAAGGACAAATTAGCACCAGATTTTTAGGCAGTCATATGGAGCCAATGTTTTAAAATACCAGTGGGAAGTCACACGAAAACAACTGATACCAGCTCAGTGTAAAGGATATAAAAGCAATATTTTCCTTGCACAGTGTGCTGTGCTCTGCTCAAGCTGGGAAATAGGGAGTGGTTACAGATTCTACAGAAGAGGACTGAGAATAGCCGAGAAGGAAGAGGGCAATAAAGATCATTCTACCTTATTTGTCAACACACTAAAATTTTGTCAAATCAACAAACAAGCCTTAAAGACCCGAGAAAAAAAAAAAAAAAAAGAAAAAGAGCAATAGTGTCTCAAAATGTAACAAACATCACTCATTGAAATTCAACTGTTTAAAGATTTTACTGAGTTTTACCAGGGCTTGCTTTGATTGCAACAGCTATAAAACACATCCTTTATGGAAGGAAAAAAACATTCCTGCACAGCTCCATCTGCTCCCATTGAAAGGATGTTTCAACAGCAGTCAAATGTCTGGGCTGGCTTCCAGATAACAGGAACAGCCAGGTCTCTTTTGTTCACAGAAGGGATGAACTCCAGCCACCAGAGCCTACTCTCATCCCCTGCCAGGCCAATCCAGTGCAGAGAGCTCCCAGGTGAGCTAGTGTTGCCCACTTATCTGTTTTTTTCCCCCTCAATCAAGGCCTGTGAGACAGTGCAGTCCCTGCCCTGAAAAGGCAAGATACCAGTGCCACAGCTAAGCCTCCAGGTGCTTGGTGATCCTGCGGATTTTCTCCTTCTTGTTCCTGTTCCCGTGTTTTTTCCAGGGCTTTCCCACCACGTTGGCAGAGTTGGGTGCAGCCGCAGGCACGAGGCCGCTCCCAGGCCGGTAGCCCATGGCAGCCCGGACCCCTTTCATCAGGGCACGAACGTTCTCCTGGAAAAGGAGACACAACCTCCAGTGACCAAGGAGAAGATCCTCAACCACTGCAGTATGTCAGTAGAACCAGACACAAGCAAGCTCAAACCCAGCAGGGCCTGCCCAGCCCCTGCTCCGGAGCTGCAGGAAGGTCACGGCAGGCAGCCGAAGCTGCCAAGCTGTGCCGGGTCCCCAGCGTCTGCCACTGACGTGACACCGTGTCCCAGCCAGCACCAGCACCAGGATGGATCCTCACAGCCTCTGCTCTGTGCACAACAAATTGTCTTCACAAATAAATCTGGCGCCCAGGAAAGCCACAGACCAAAATAAGTTGCTCAAGTCTGGAGCGTGGGCAGCACTGACAGGGCTCGCAGCTTGTGCCAGCACTTTGGGCAGACAGAGCAACAGTCTGGTAATCCCAAAAATGCTTTTCAGGTCACAGTTTTCTGAAATAGCTCACTTTTTTTTTTTTTTTTTTTTTTTTGTAAAGAGCCTGAGGTTTTGTTTTCAAAATGCATGATTATCTTAGCTGTGCTAAATAAATGGTCTTCACATCCAGCCAACCACACAGAATGGAACATGCTATCTATGACCCATCCTGTTCACAGCCAAAAACCTGTTCTAATCCTTGTCAGGTATGCAGATCTGGTCAGTTATGGATTTCATATTTCACTCTAAGTGAAATAGACTTTTGCCTCTTTTCAGTCGTGTAGAGGCAAAACAAATGCCTGTAGGATCTAACACAAATCATACAGGTTAAGAAAAATTCCCATTTTCTACCTAATTTTGAGATTTCTTAACTGGATTTTAAATCAGTTGGTATTCTTTTCATCTGATTTCAGGTTCTGAGTCAAAACCTCAATGTAATACTAAATTATCTTTAAAAAGCTTATCACAGCCTCTAAATATATCAGCTCAGGAAAGGAATGTCACTTGGAAGGACCTGTTAGTTCCAAACCATGTTCTGGGTCAGTTGTCAAGTCATTCCTCCTTGTCTTTCTTCCCAGTCACCCTCCTGTTTGCTCAAGATTGATGTCTGATTCCTAACAACAAGGGTCACCCTGCTGACCTCTGAAAAATCATCTGTGCACACCTCATTAGCAATCTTTCTGTCACCGAGGACATTCCCAGTGATTTAGGAGATAATAAAAAGAACAGAGAGCTCTTGGGTAGAAATTACATGCAGATCCCACTGCATTAAACACCATTAACTCAACCCAGCACACCTCCATCCTCAAAGGTGGTTTTCCTCCAGTAACTACAGATGAGTGCTGCAGCAAAAATTCCTAAAACAAATCTTTTCCAGAATTTACCTGATGGAAAAAAGTTTTGTCCACCACATTTTCAATTTGTTTTGCTTTGGTATTTTTCTCAGGCTTCACCTGTCCAGTGGCCTGCAAAGTTGTACTGTCAGGGCATCTTTGATGTTGGTGCTGAAAATCATTTGGGTCAATACCAGGAGGTGGGTGGCAATATAACAGCTTCCCCTGTGAAAGCAATGGGACTCAGTTACTAAAAAGACAGTAAGAGAGGAAAGAAAACAACTTTCTTGTTGTTTTCTTAGGCCCCACACCTAAGAAGGGCCTGAAATTTAGGGATTCACACTGGCAGACTATCAGTACACTTTATTTATTCTCCCAGACAACAACTGGCTTGACTCCTAAGGTTAAGTACTGTTCCACCTCTACATCAAAGCAACATTTGCAGCTGCAGTGCCCAGATGCAAACAACACAGAGCAAAACTCTCAGGAGCACCAGAGGATCCTATTAAGAAATTATCAACAGTAAATTGCAAAGAGGTGCTAAAGCAGCATGCAGTATTACAACACTCACAGCAACAGTCCTTTGTGCCAAATATTGGTCCAGCAGTACACTATGGGTTCATTTCTTGAGTATCTGCTAGCTACTTTGGAGATATGATTATTTTTTTAGCTGGCATCATATTTTTAAGCAATCACCTTTCTAAGATTAGGCAGCTTCAGAAATTCAATTTATTCTTTTAAAACACAAAAGCAGGCCAATCTCAAGAGTCTTTTGATACATGGTGATTTTATCCAGAGAAACAGAATTGACTTTATTGTACTCCAGTGCAACCTTTAATTCACCTCTGAGAAGAAAACCCAGATGTAGAAAGCACTTACATTGACATAATCTTTTAACACATATCGAGCTGATCTCGGCTGGTCTGGCTGTCCATGAGATGTCATAAAGCCCCTCATATCTGGAAGAGAAATCCAAAGTATATTCTTTGTAAGTACAAGAGAATGTTAATGTGTTCTCCTCTGCTGCCTAACCACCCATTCATATTCTTTCTCAAAAATACTCCCTTAGAACAAGGCTTCTCTTGGGGAAAGCAGGGGGAAAAAGAAGGGAAGAACTTTGGTGACTGTAAAGGTACTGCAGAAGCACCCTGACTTGAAAGAAATTATAAGAGCTGACACCTCCCTACTAGGAGAAAACTGCTGGGGTTTTATTTTTGTTTTAAAGGCAGAGAATGAGAATTCATTGCATTCTTCAAAGTCTAATTCAGACCCAGATGGTGGGAGGTATCTGAAAGGGTAAGAGCACCACACTGGCAGGGCATTCCACCAGTATCTTCCACACTATCACTACAGCTGTCAGATAAAACTGGCAAAGCACCACTCCAACTCCCACAGGAGACGAGCCATTAACAAAGACCATTCCTGAGAGCAGGGCAAGTCCTATCAAAGAGGTCCAATGCACAAAACCCCCAGGCTTAGGAGAACTTTACAATGTTCTCCTAAGGCCATGTTCAGGACCATGCACACAGTGGAGGTGACAGGTTTTAAAAGGATCATCACTCACATCCATATGCTGTTAGCAGCTCTTCAGCTGTTGGCTTTCGATCTGGGTCCTCATCTTCCCTTGGCCTTATGATATTTATTCCATAAGTTGCTTCCAAAATGTTTCGTGGGATATGCTGGCAAACATAAGCTAGTGAAGGAAACCACTTTGTCATTTACAGCTACACAAGTAATCTTGCCCTTGTCACTCTAGGAGCACACACAAAAGAATGACTTTTGGATTTTGTTGCAAACCAGAAAAATAACAGGTCTGAAAACACAACTAAGTTGAAATGAGATAGGAAAAGACCAACACAGCAGGACTGTTATCCAGTATGTCCCACCTCCCTCAAAGCATGAGCACATGTGCTGCTAGCAGGGCTGGAACACGCTACTTGGCATACTCCAGATCCAACCCTTGCATGCCCTCTTACAAACCCCATGCAAAGGATATTAGAGAAACAGGTGGAACGTGGTCCCTCATCTGATCTATAGGCAGAATTCCAGAACAAATCATTTCTGCCTTGGTAGAGACGAAAGATGGCATCACCAGACCGGGGCAATCACAAAGGCACAGGCCAGGCTCCACATACAGGGTCTACATGATAAATAACCTATTAGTTCACTATGGCAACTCAGTGTCCACGGAGGTAAAAGGAACAAAAAAAATAAAATTCAAATGCACAGATGAAATATGGATGCAAATGACAATAAGGAGAAATTCTACTAACACAGACATCTGCCCTGCTGGTCCCAGCCAATGAATTAAGCAGATCAGATGTAGAAGACAGCAACATTTTTCAAAGTTCCTAAATAAGGTGTCCAGATGGGGGCAGCAAGATCTTCAGCTCTTCAGTCTGATGGGAGAGGAGAAAGTACTCCAGAAACCTTTAAGTGTGTTGGACCTTCTGAAACAGCTGGGAGTTCAAAAAGTACAAATCCCACAATGGTCCCACACTGTAGCATTGGAGCAGCTACCTCAAAATCAAAGTTTGATCAATATGAAAATATCAGCAAAACTACATTTATTCACAGCCATGATGTTGACAAGGATAGTTTGAAGCCTTGACCTTAAGCTACTTGGAGGAACACTCATGTTAAAAAGCTTCTCTCCTCATGACTGGTGTTGGAAGAAAGGGACAAGGTAACTAAATAAAATCAGGAGATATAAAACGTGCCCCATTGCACAGCAGCTCTCATGAACGACTCAAAATCGAGCACAAGTTTAGAAGCAAGAATTAAAGTTCCAAAATTATACACATCAAGACCACTCCTCTCCAACCTACTCTGCTGACCATAGTTCAGGCTGGCAGAGTTCTCAGTGAGTGCATGTGGTTGCAACTAGGTCATAATGAAGCTCTCTTCCACTGGGGAGAAGAAATTACAAAAAGACTGATGTTATTTGTTAGCAGTACCTGGAAGTGCTTTGTACGGCCTGGTGTAGCAGACACCGACACCTTCTTATTTCCAAGGATTGTGTTGATGGTTGAACTTTTGCCAACATTAGGGTAACCCACCTAGATGACAAAGTGAAATGTTATTAGGCAGGGTGATGCCAAAAGAATCACAGAGCTCTGACACAAAAGTTTTTTTATTAAAATGTTCTAAAAAAAACCAACTAGGGCAAGCAGGGGGGCACGCTGAGCTCTAGGAGCTTCAGTATTAATCTTTGCACAAAACCCACAGTGGTTTGTGCTTGCCAGTTTTTATACCCTTATGGGAAGCCAGACTACAGGATGAATTTTTCCCATGGAGGGCACATGGAATTAGAATTTAGATTAAGTAAGCTCCATTTAGGCACTAAGTCCAACTTACCAGCCCAACATTTACTTCCCCATCCTTCACCCTTGGTCCATTGTGCATAGTTTTGAATATCTCCAGCAGCTCATCTCTCTGTACCAGATGGCTGAAGTTCCTGACGTTCCTGTTCTGCTCCTGCACCCTGTGCTGCACTGCAGCACCATCAGTCCTGCTTTCCATCCTCTGTGGACCAACAGCATTTATGCTGTCACCAGCTTCATCTTCAGAACAGGTTTGCCAGTCCTCCTCTTCATCATCTTCACAGTCTTCATATTCATCACTGCTGTTATCATCACTCCCCAAGGCCTGGTTTGCACTTTGCCAAGTGCTGCCTGTGGATGCTCTTTCTGCACTTCCTTGTGCTGTGTTGTCATCTTCCTGACTGGAGCCATCATCCTCAGAACCGCTGGGGTGCTCTGCTCCCCCATCAGAGCCCAGTTCCTGTGGGAACAGCAGTTCAGAGGTGAAATGCAAAGACAACCCCAAGCCTTGCTGCTGGCTCAGTGAGCTGTCATCAGCCAGATCCCAAGAGCTGACAACCCAGTGCTTATCTATTCCCAGCTGCAGCCAGCACAGACCCAGTCTGACCTGGTCACCTGCGGTACCTTTGATTCTCCACACAGCCGTTCACACTCTGCCAGAGCTGACCAGAACACCACCTTGACACCCTCCTTCTCAAAGAACTGTGCCCAAGCAGCACGTTGCTCCTCACTCAGCAAATCTGCTTTGTTGATCAGGATCATGTTCTCCTTGTCTTTACTGACTTCCTTAACATAACTTTCCTAAAGAAAACAAGAGAAGGATCAGTTTGCACTCTGGTTTCAACTCCTTCCACCCCAAGACAACACAAGATCACCAAAACAAATTAACCCATGCAGCTCCACACGAGTGTAGCCAAGCTTACCATCCCTAGGTTGATGAAGTGCTGTTCAGCAGACAGCCACAAGAACAAATTGGAGCATGCAACTACCACAATACAGCTTGTTGCTGGCCATGTGTGCAAATGCCTTGTCTGCCTAGAGCTGTGCCAAGATATTAATCAGCACCCTGCAGCAGGAGCTCCTAAGATAACTATTTGAGCAATTTCATGTCTCCCTGACGCAGTGTTCTATAGCCTATCATTACAAACTTGTCACTTGAATAATTTTTGATCCTTTGTAATCCTCACCCACTTTTATTCCACTATGCTTTTACAAAAGACAATTCCTTTAGGTGAGGACACTTCTAATGGGTAATAAGAAATAAAATAGTATCTGCAATGTAACATCTGCAGAAGAGCCTCTAAATCCACAACATTCTGTGTGAAATACCAAAAGAAAAAAAAATAATTTCATGCCAGAATACTTTTATGAATTAATAAGATATCCACTCAGGCACTACAACAAAACAGCTTCAAGGTGGCTGAATGCATTGAGCAAAAAATATATCACATAAACATTAAGACATAAAATGAAGACAAGATTCAAGAAAGTTGTTTACTTACCAGGTCTTGACATCTAAACAGAAGGGGGTTTCTGGCATCTACTATCTGGACTACAATATCACTGCAAAAGGAAAGGAAAGCCCCATGAAGTAGTCATTCTTACATTGCCCCAAAGAAAGCAGTAAGACACAGCAATTATTCATTTTTAGGTTTTCCTTGGAATTTTAATAGTTTCAATTGTATTATCCTACTAAATATCTTTACTGAACAACAGAGCATCTCAGCAGCCCACCTGCCCAACAGAGCCATGCTTGTGCTACAAGCCAGTACTGCTATACAGTGTTTCCTCCTCACTTGGCTCATTCTCCTGCACAAATGTACAGGCAGCAAGGGGGAAGAAAACATGTCAATTTTGCCAACCCATCTACCCTTCAGAAATACTCAGCAGGCAAGAACGACAGTAGTGGTACTCCATCTTTTAGAATGGTACTAAAAACTGTGATAACACAACTTTGTTTCTGTCTATTCTCATCCTCAACTGCAGCAGGGTGGTTACAGAGAGAAAGAAGAGGTGGTTTTCCTACACAGTGAGTGGAACATTGTTGTCCTTGCATGGAACAAGATGTACAAAGCCTCCCACAAATGACATACAGATTCTAAGTGTTTGCTATTGGATATTTTCAGAAGTTCCTCTGTGCTCTTTTTGTGACAAAAAGCATAAAACAATGAAAAAATAGTCTTAGATTTCAGTAAAATATGTTGTTCCCCCATGCAAGCAAGGCCTTGCAACATACTTCTAGGAAACACCTTCCAAGCCCAGAGACCAGGTTGCCACCACATACACGAGCAGGACTCATTAGTTCCACACACTAATTAAATGCAATGGCTTCAGATCCCAAAGGCATTCATGGTTCTTTTGTCAAAAGGAGGGGAAAATTTAACTACAGCCTCTTCCACTAGAACTTTTCCAGGCAAGTAATTTAAAATACTGCCAGGTATTATCACATACTAATTCCATTTGTTTGACAGGGATTTCTGTTAAGTCAGGCCAACTTCAGAACACCACAGGTCACATGGAAGAATTGCAAGTTTCACTAGGCTGTTTGTTATGCATTAAAAAAAAATCAATAACCCCCCCAAGAGAATAATTTAGTAAGCCCCATGGGTACAAAGAGGACTGCACGGTTACAGACATTCAAAGATCAATATGAGGGAAAGCTGACACCATTGTACTGGGATGGAATACAGAGAAGTTACTGAAGGCCACTGCTGGGAACTAGTTTGAAGCAAGTTCATGGAAAAGGCTGATAACAGATCAAATTATCTGGAAAGGTTAAAGGACTGAGTGACTTTTCCATTCACTTCTGAGACAGCATCCTCACTCTACATGAAATAAAAAGCTTCAACAGGAGCAGAAAGGCATTAATGACACATTCCAGTCACCTCCAAACACCCTGCACACTCACAGTGTACATCATGATACCCTAGAGTGGATGCTCCTGACCAGCACTCTCCCAGCCAAGGGCCCAGCAGCACTCAGTACAAAGGCCCTTCTGTGAAAGGACCAGCTCACCATGACCTCACTGGTGAAGCATTTTTCAATTTTAGAAAAGTAAAATGAAATGATCTTAAGCCTAATAACTAGTGAAATTAAATGCCCCAGTTAGATTAATGTAGCAGATAGCACTCTTATTGTATTACAGCTCAGCAGAGCAAACAAAGCTATTCCTGTGGTATGACAGCCTGTTGTCTTCTGTGCACTGCTGCAACTTCTCTGTGTGGCAAAGAGACAAGGACCAAGAAGTTCCTTCTTTCCCAACATTACTTAGTCCTTGCCTCCTGCTCCTGAACATCAGCTGCTGCAATTTGGTTGGGAAGGAAGGGAAGGGGTTAATCTTGGCAAGAGACCTCAAAGGCACTTTCTCAAAGGAGGCCTCCAACACAGTTACTGGGGACTCACAGTGAACCACTGCACATCACACTGCTCAGAGCTAGCAGGCACCACAAAAACAAAATCACTGCAGTGCTGATAATAAAACATTACTAACTTAATAATTTTTCCTGTGCTGAGACACTTGAAGCTTGTCTCAAAAGCTGCAATTCAGGAAAATACATTCAACATCACTTTTTAAAAAGTGAATAGCAAAATACTTTACCTTCTTTCAATGACTCTCCAAAGCTGACGCCAAAATTCCAAGTTTCTTTCAAATGGGGTTAGAATTAACTTTTTCTCTTCCTCAAGGCTAAGGCAAACAGAAAAAACATCACATTTGGCCTATGACACGCTGTAAGATCACTCCCAGGTCTTCCCTAGATCCAGAAGGCTTTAGTTTTGCACAGAGTAATCAAACCAAACTCATACAGAGATACCATTTCTGATGATTTTTCAAACAGATCAAGCCCTCAGGTACACTGCTGTACCAGTGGCACTGGTTTAGTGGTGACACAACGGCTTCTGATCTTGTCAATGCAGAAGTGGTAAAAGATGGAAAGAGCAAGAACTCATCAAGAGTCTGCCTGTGAAATTTGAGAGCCATGATAACAAATGAGAGAAGTTATCCCAAGTGCCAGTAGTTTTTTCTTAATTGAGTACCACTTGGAAAAAAACCTGAAATTTGGGCATGGTACCTGAAATACCTCTATACAACCTTTAAGTTGGCGTTAACACCACCTGCACAACTTTACTCAGGGCAAGCATGGGTTTGCAGGATGTGAGCAGACATCACCCAAGTCTCCAAGCCAGCAGATGCAGTGCCAGACCAGCACAGGCTGCTGGATGCAGCAGGCTGGCAGCATGGCCTTCTCTTCAGAGCAGCACTGTTGCTTTTAAAAGACACATCCAGTAACCCTCTACTTCACAGGTGAATTAAGAACATCACATGCCATCCTGAATTCATTTAAAAGAACATCACACACAAGAGAGCTTTGCAGAGCTGAGCACAAAGACATGCTGCACTGTGGCAGGGATGTCCAGCCTTCCAGAACAAGTACAGAGAGCTACTGAGTAGATGATAGTTTTATTGGTCCGACAAGGATAAGTTCAACCCGCTGCTTCCCCTGTCACTAAATGCCACCAGCTACTTACCCAGCCACAAGCAGCATACTCACTGGGCAAGCTGTCGCCTCCACTCGAGAAAGCTCTCTCTCTCTGCTTGCTTCAAGTCCTCTGCACTGGTTGTCCTATCCCAGTGTGGCCTATAACAAACATATTTTGGAGTGAGTGGTCAGAAATAGCAGTCAGTCCAGCAACATTACTTCAGTAAATAGAACATAAAAACCACACATTCAGCTATGCTGAAATAATGGTTCAGATGTGCATACAACTGTTTTCAGCAGCTTTAAATACACCTTCTTTCCTTGTTCCTTCCAAACTCCATTAGCAGAGAGCACGTACACCAGATACTACAAAGCTGTTTTCTTGAGCTAAGTTTTGTAGGGTCATTGAGATGGGGGTTAATCTCTCTGTTCACCATTCACAAAGCTCTGAAAAGGCTTACCAGGCACCCTGGATGCACCTGCCTCAGCAGTGCCAAGCTTTGGGCAGGAAACCCACACCATCAGGCCAGAGAGGCTGGCACTGGCAGCACTCACATGGCAGACTGGCACTGTACTGTGGGTTACAGCCTGCTCACATAGGTTAGTTAGTGGCTTCTCCAAAAGCAGTGTATTGCCAACCCGAGGGCTGTCCTCAGGCTTGCAGCCCAGAGGGATCAGCCCCGGAGGCCCAGTCAGCCAAGGGGCACCCAGGCAGCCCTGCAGAACTCACCTCCGTGGGATGCGCAGGAACTCCTGGTTCTCCTGCTGCAGCTGCCGAACGCGCTGGGCCTCCTGTGCTGTGAGCAGGCCCGTGCAGCTCTGGGCAGACACGATCTGGGCATTCAGACGCTCTAAAGGAGAGACAGTCATCCAAAGCCACCTGTCCCCAGCGCTGCTACCCCTGCCACCCCATCCTGTCCCTGCAGACCCCAGCCCTGGCTCAGGGCCTCACAACCTGCCCCAGGGCCTCACAACCTGCCCCAGTTCCCGCGGGCCAGACCCACTGCCAGCTCCCATTGGCACCCACTCAGCCCAGAACCGGTGCCGCCCCGGCCCGGGGTCCCCTCCTCAGCCCCAGGCCCGTCCCAGCTGCTCACCGGCCACGAAGCGGGTGCCGGCCAGCTCGGCCGTGGCCAGGAACTCCTCCAGCGGGCTCTGCTCGGGCGCCGACCGCAGCTCCGGGCCGCGCTCGGCCACCACCTCGCTGGCGTGGAGCTGCCGGGACAGGACACCGCCGTCAGCTCGGGCCGCCCCGACCTCTCTCCCGCCTCCCCGGCCCCCCGGCGTACCCATGAGGAGGCGCCGCGCCGCTCCAGCCCGCGCTGCCGCTGCAGGCAGCGCCCGAGCCCATCGCTCCGCTTCTTGCCCATGTGCCGCCACTGCCGCCCCGCCGACGGAAGGGGCGGGCGGACCGCCGCGTTCTACCGCCCCTTCCACCGCCCCTTCCGCCGTCCGCCCCTTCCACCGCCCCTTCCGCCGCCCGGAGCCTCAGCTGCGCTCGCCCCGCCGTCTGCCACCAGGCGGTGCCACCGCACCGGCACCGGCACCTCGCCGGCCAGCCAGGGCGATAGGACACAGCCTGAACCTGCACAAGCGGAGGTTTAGGTTGGACATTAGGAAGAATTTCTTAACTGAAAGGGTGATTAGGCGTTGGAGTGGACTGCGCAGTGTGTTGGTAGAGTCACCGTCCCTGGAGGTGTTTAAGAATGCGGCACTTAGTGCCATGGTCTAGTTGATACGGTGTTGGACTCAGTATCAGAGGTCTTTTCCAACCCAGTTGGTTCTGTGACCATCCATCCATCCATCCATCCATCCATCCATCCATCCATCCATCCATCCATCCATCCATCCATCCATCCATCCATCCATCCAATCTTTCTATCCCTCCCACCCTATGGTGCTCAGTATGGACACACCTCTCTCTGGGTCTCCCCTCCTCAGGCTCAGCTCTAACCTCCTGCCTCCCATAACAGCCACCAACCCCACCAGTAATGAGCCTGGGGGCACGGTTCACTCCCACCCCAAGGTCGGTGCTGCAGCTGGAGGCCCTGGCACTGGGGTGGCACACAGGGCTGCCAGTCCCAGCCCTGCCCGTGGCAGTGCCACCAGCAGTGGGGCCAGTTTCTCTTGCTGGCTCGGCCTGGTGCAGATGCTATCAAACCACGCTGTGCAAAACCCTGCCCAGCAGCCAGCCATGGGGGCAGGGGTTTGTGTCTCCCTCTGGGGAAAGCCACCAGCTCCTGTGGCCAAGGCTGACCCTGCGCTGTGCAACACGGCCAGGCCAGTGCAGGTTCTCCTTCCCTAGTGTCCACCGTCCCAATACAGCAAACAGTGCATGTGAGGAATGATGGTGGCAAAGTGGGATCCTGGATGCAGATGTGGGAGGTACACTATGAGGTTCCTGGCAAAATCTAGACAGAGTCTGGGCATCTTTGCCAGATGGAGGAAATTGCATGACCAGCCACGGAACCACTGAATGGATTTTGGCAGCAGCCATTGTGACTGGTCTGGGTCAAGATGGGAGAACAGGTTAAATTAATAAACAACTTGACCTGTACTTGCTCACTGAACTGAATTATGAAGCATTTCTCCTTTATGGTTGTTGGGTTAAGGCCAGACAATTTTCACTACAACTCTGTAATGTGTATCAGTTGTAACTGGAGAATAACCTATCTAATTCCTGGAAAACAGAAGCAGAAAAAGCTTAACTTCAGGAGTTTGCCACCAACCAACAGCATGGCAGCATGCACAACCCCCTGGGCAGGAGCAGTCTTTTCTCTCTTCTCTATTCTCTTTTCTTTCTTTTTTCTTTTCTCTTGCTCCATGATAAACGCCCATTAGGAAGACACAGCTTTTATTTTCTTCTTCTTTTCAAAGCCAGTAACTGCATGGCATAAATTTCCCAAGGACGTCTGATCCTTTGCCATGCTCATCCCAGGCTCTGCCGCCACCACCAGCCAGGTCTGGCCCCTCCTTTGCTTCCTAAAGGCAAATAAGAGAGATGAAAGGGGACTCAGCAGTCGCCTTTTCATTTAGGTGAGGTGCTTCAATGGAAGGCTGGTGGGCTGCAGACAGCAGGCAGACATTTAGTAAAATAATTTCTAATCGAGTAATCTTTAATAAAACCATCTCAAGTCTTTATGTGGGCACTGAAGCAGTAATATAAGTGCTCATTATTGTCTTTCTTTTGTACTTCAGTTAAAAGTTACCTTCCCTCTACAATGCATAATCACCAGCCAGAGCAGCCAGCCAGCCTGGCTGATCCCCACGCCTCAGGTCTGGCAGCACTTCTAGCCCCACGGCTGAGGCACGTGCAGTGCCATTCCCAGGCTGCCCAACCACAGGCTAAATGCTCTAATAATCCCATTGGCACAGCCCTGGCAGCACAGCCCCAGAACCATCAGGGTCTGGAGACTGTCAGTACAGATTGCAGAGCTCAATGGATTTCCATGGGACACCTGCAGCTCTGTTCAGTGGCATGAACTGGGAAACAGACACTCAAGGACAGGCAGAAGTGCTGGTGCAGTGGGAAAAGGAGGCTTGCTCCACCACCTGCAACCCATCCTGGGGCAGGGAGGTTTGAGAATAACCTGAAGAACAAAGATCTCTGCATTTAGGAGATGTTTTTCCCACACATTGCCCTTTTCCCCCCCACCTTTCCCCATTTCTAGACTGAAATGCTTCAGGGAACAGTTAATTGCAGGTATTTTCTACTACCTTTGTGAGACCTACTTAAGCAATGCCCAAATTGCCCTCATTGTTGCAACAGATACATTTCTGGGCACTTCATAAACACCAAGGAATTATTTCTGTCTGGTGATGCCAGCAGCACTGCGAAGATTGCTTTGAGCAGAGCAGTGCTGAAGGAGAAACAGACTGGGTCATCCAAGTGACAAAAACATCAGAGCTGGAGCAGTAATTGCCTATTTCTAATTGCCATGTTTCTCATCCCTCTCCCATTGCTCTGCTGTGTCTACCTGAGCAAGACAGGCTGCTGCTGGTCTCACCTGAACCCGACAGCCTGCTGCTTCTAGAAGACATTTATGCATGCATTTCACACAGTGCAAAGGGAAACTGAGGTACAGATGCTGTCACAAGAGCTGCACAGAGGCAGCTTGGCACCAGAGTGTACGTGCCAAGAGCACAGCCAGGCAAGGAGAGCTTGGAGGAGAGGGGCATGCTGCTGTCAAGTGTGAGAAAGCTGTTGATTTGCAGCCCATTCCCATATGATGGAGTAGCTACCACTGCATGCAAAATGAACACAATTTTTGCTGTGGGGCTTTGTTTGTACAACTCATCTCTTTGACAGGGCTGGACTGAGGTGTTGTCCTGGGAGAGAAAGCACCTCTGTGCATCACAAAACTTCTCACCACTCCTTTGAAAAGCACTGAGTGCCCAGCACTGTTGGCTCTTTGGAAAGTGGCCACAGCTTTGGGAATTCTCACAAAACCATTGCATAGACAAAGTAAAATCTGCTGTCCTTCCAGCACATTGTAATCATTGTCTTGGGCTTCTCTCTCAACTTCTTCTGCCTTGGAGCCAAACCACTGCTCCAGTTTTTGATGCATATCCTGAGAATTATTTAGCAGCAGCAGCTCTTTTTCAAAAGCCTGTGATAACAGTGCATTTTTGCCTAAAGGAAACATCGTTCTTTCTGGACAATTTTCCCTCCATGTTTCTTTAAGGCAGCACTGGGAGATCTCAGGACTGTGTCCCTAAAATATTCATGTGATGGCTATTCATTATTCATGTAGGTTCACAATGCTCAATTCAGCGGTACTGCCAGCCTCAGCCTGACAAGCAGACCCATTAAGAAACCGTCCCCACAACAGCCCTGAAAGAACACCAAGACAATTTTGCTCTGTGCACAACTGCAGCTGCTTGAGCCCTCTTCTCTCCAGCTGTACTCAGAAACGGACAGGCACTGTAGGAGAGTGGGAGCTTGTTCCGCAAGCTTCCCATCTCTTGGTGAAGGTCTTGCTCCTCTTTAGAAAGAGCAGCATGCTGAGGAAACTCTGAAGCATGGCTGCCTGGCCAATGCTGATCCCTGAGAAGGCACCAGCCCTACTGAGGCCCTTGTGTGAGATTTTTAGACTCTGTTTCTTCCACCAGATATGAAGATAAAATCACCTCCTTGCCTGGCAGGGTGGGGGCAACTTAATTAGAGAGAACTGTCTGCCTCTTTGAAGGCACAAAGCACCAGATGGAAAACCGATGGGATTTCTCCAGCTCCCATTGTGTCAGCTCTGCCTGGGAAGCCTCACTCATGCTGCCCACTGCTGCCCCTCACCATGGCCCCATGGTGGCAGCCCCCAGGATGGAGATTTGCCCCAACACCACTTCTGTGCCCCTGGACTGGCAGCACTGTATGAGGACGGATGTCCAGCACCAGCCCAGCCAGCAAGCTGTCCCCGAGGGTGCCATGACACCCAAGGGAGGGCTCTGCTCCGTTGGACACTGGCTGCCCTGCTAATTATAGCAGCCAGTGCAGGAAGCGCTGGGGCCGCCTGTGCAGGAAGCGGGGTGTGCCGCTCTCGGTGGCTGAAAAACAACCACGGCAGAGGTGTGCCCACACCACCGGGGCCCCGCCGAGCAGCACAGCCCTGATCCAGGGGCACTGCTGGTCTTCAGCACCCTGAGCAGCACTGGCATCACCCGTGGTGCCCCAGGGGGATCCAGGCCTGCCTATGCATAGATCTCCCGCAGTGTTCATGTGGCCCCGGCATCATCTGTGCTCCCGGCCCAGAGCCTCTGAGCCCTGCCAGGGCACACCCGCTCCAGGATGGGGTGCTGCTCCCCTTCAGAGAGGCTGGAGGGCAGCAGGGGTGGGATGTGGCACCCATTAAAGGCTGTTAAGGGCCCTTCTCCCTGGGCAGGTCATGCTGTCCCCTGCCCTGCCACCTTGCCCCCACTGTCCCCACTCCTGGCGACAGGCAGCCATCCGCACTTGCTGCTGGCCAGACCTGGTTGATGCTGGCAGGTCTGGGGGCCATGGCACCCTGTCTGTCACCACTGATGGCCTTTGAGGCTCAGGAGCCACTCAGTCTTTCCGCTTCACGGAAAAACCTGACAGTTCAGCATTTCCTTTGTCCCCGTTTGGAACAAAGAGTCAAAACTTTGACATGTTGCATAGTTATAGAGATTCTGAAATACTTTGTTTTGGAACATACTGAAATGCCGGTTTGCAGTGTTTCATTTTGACTGTGTCACTTCAGCTGCTGTGACGCAAGAAGTTCTACTGCTACCTGGGGGGAGAAAACCTGACACATTTTCATACACTGACAAAATCAGTACATTCCCATGAATTATTTTGATCTTGTCATATCAACTTTCCCCAGCACCTTTTCCCACCACTCTCCCCAACCAGAGA